TCAATGATTCCATATGATAGTGAGCCAGTGCACTTTGTTATAGCCCTATCTTGTTAAACTTTGCTCCTTTTAACTATTACAATAAATTTTGTTAAAATTCTCACCTAAAATGTTGATTCTCATTAACCACCCTTAGCTGTAAATCATCAGCTCTAGTTTGGTGGAGGCTAACTTGCATAATTCATTTCCTACCCTATTTTGAAACTTCAATTTCTTGACATGTTAGACATAGGCCTTGTTTGTTTTTTGGCTTTTTCAGTTAGCTTTTTAGCTGTTTGACTAGATTTAGCTTATTTGACCATTGACCAGCTAAAAAATGTGTTTGGTATTTAGCTTATTCATTCAGCGTTTTGGATTGAAAAGCCAATTTTTGAAACGCTCCTTCTAGCAGCGTTTAGGATAGTGCTTTTTGTTGTAATATATATTGACAATATGTAAGATCCATGTGTAAGATAGATAGAAAAACAAAGAAAGGATTAGAGAAGAATAAGAAAGAAGAGATACGCCATTAAAACCCTCATCTTATTCATTCACTTGAGCCATATATATAAGGGAATACAATGTACATGACTAAAGACCTAATGGGCTCCTGGCACATACCTACAAAGCTTATATCTAGGTAATGTCCACAAATTAATATTTACAACACTCCCCCTTGGACATTACCGCATCATGTCTATGCCTCGTTAAAAACCTCACCCTGTAGGAAAAAGCAGTCGAGGAAAAGAGTACATATATATGCAAATTTATGTGTTACACATGCTGCCTCGTTAAAAACCTCACTAAGTAAAACCCAATGGGAAAAAAACTTAGTCAAGGGAAAAAGAGTACAACACCGGCTAACAGTGCTTAATCTTCAGGATTATAATTAACCTTCCGAGTTCGATTTTCGAGATTTATTTATCGCTCTCCCTGAAGGGAAAACTTGTATAGTTACATTCATAATTGTATGTTGCTCCCCCTCAAGGCAAGAGTTTCTAACATAAAATCGTCATTTGTTGCTCTTCCGGAGTTAATATAGATTCAAAAAATATGATCAAATGTATTTTATAATTTATTTGTGTAACACAAACCAAGTTATCTTCTGGATAAATATAGGGAAATTTCAATAACCAATGGTAAAAAGTTAATACCATTTGAGAGGTATATATAACCAACTAAGGACCCATACTTCGGGGATCAATTATACAATTGATGTCCTTATCCACCAATATCATATATCGAGTCCAAAGATAACTCAACATACATGAAGAATAATGGGATATTCTCAATATTTATCACGATATCTCTCTAAGGAGAGATTTAGTAAATCTTGCTAGCAAATTCATCACAAA